TTATTACAGCTACACTGCATATTGATGTGTAATGCTTATTTTTCTAGAAACTTATGTTGCTCGTCCCATTTCAAGCATGTACGGAACTATTGTCCGCTATATGGCTACTCGTATGATCGCGATATTCTTGGGAACAGTCATACGTGTCTTCTTCATTGTTTCCGGGTCCAAGTTGAGAAAAATGAAAACTTCGCCATGGCGTATTACCCAAATATGGCTACTTGTAGTTGATACCTCACATTAGTAAATACGTTGCTAAAGTAGTTTTAAAGGAAAATGGGTTTTTCATTTTACCAATGACTCGCACCTTTGCCTCATCCCTTACAAGTGTAGAACTCCTTGCATCAAAGTTCAACTGCATCTAAGGGATTATTTTCTAAGAAAATCAAAAGTTATTCATTTTTTCCACCATTATGGTTGGACTAAACATGTTTCCAATTGTGGTCTTTTTGCTTGTCGCAAATTGTGCATTTCCAACGTTGGTGCATTTGGATGATTTGCCGTCCGTGGTTAAGTGCAAAAAACATTTCAACATAAAGTATACATTCAACGTGTACAACTATATTTTCAAAGGGAAGAAAATTGGTGACTTTAGTTGTCAGGACCTTGTGGCGTTGGGATGCCATAATGTTTTCGTTAATAGCACCTTTACTTACGAACACACCGGGAACAGAACTGCCATTCAAGCCAGAGTTGACCGAGTATTTAATCATTGTATAATTCCAACTTCTATCCCACCTTCTTCTTCGCTATCTTAAATAGAGAATTGAACTTCTCTAGGGCTAACAAATTTGTGCGATATTTCATGAGTTTGAATAAAATTTTGATGTATTTGCTTTGATGCCTATTACGACTGCACTTTGTTGCTTTGAGTTTGTAAAGCATTTTCTAAATGATTGAGGAATGAACAATAGTAATAAAACTACTACCATGCCAATTTAAAAAAATTCATGAAACATCGTAAGTAATAGAGATCAGTTTTACATTTGTTCGCCCTTTACCTATGCATTACGTTCGGTTATTGCAGCTACACTGCTTATTGATGTGTAATGCTTATTTTTCTAGAAACTTGTGTTGCTCATCCCATTTGAAGCATGTACGAAACTGTTGTCCGCCATATGGCTACTCATATGATCGCGATCTTCCTAGAAATAGTCATACGTGTCTTCCTTATTTTTTTAAGAGGTCTAAGTTGAGAAAGATGAAAATCCCACCATCGCACAAACTGCATTCAGGAAGCACTAAGCATGCACCTATTTCATGGAATTTGATAGCCCTCTTCCTAGCAGTGGCAATTTCACCACATGGTTCATGCCCGTTATCATCCTTCACATGGACGGAATCGCATGCTTGTACGTCTCGAGAAAATCTCGAAATAGCTCATTAGAATTGATCTTGACATGTATAGGCTTGCAGTAGCCCACCTTGCCGAAAGAACCGCATTGACGGGCAAAGGTGGAAGACATCTTAAAATTTCTACAAGAAAGTACAAAGAAAAATATTTGGACAACAGCTCGTGAGAAGAAAAACAAAAAAAATAAAAATAAAGGAAGACCGGAAACCCTAGCGCCCTAGCACCAAGCCTCACTATCCAACTCATCAACAAGCCATAATAGGCCCCAAGTGCCCCTCGGCGCAAATCCACCAGTAATGAAGGGCTAACACCCTGTGCCTTTCTCCCTCTCCTTCAGCTCAAGCGAGCCCAAGCTCGGCTACATGCTGCTCCAGCAGTCCTCAAGGCCCATGATGGAAGAAAGCCCGCGGCTCCCTCCTCCCTCCCTTCTCTTTCACGCGCGCAACTCAAGTAGGCCCTAGGCCTCTCAGCCCAAGTTGCAGAAACCAGATAGCCAACCCACGCCGGTCTCTCTCCTTCTTTCCCTTCTTGCCTATACAGGCCCGTGGCCAATAGCCATGAAAGCTCAGCCCAGCTGGCCTCCCTGTGTCCTAGCGCACCGATCACCTCAGCCTAGCTGAGCTCTGTTGCCACACCACCAGCAGCCCACGCTACCCACCACAACACAGCAGCACCGTGGCACTTATGCCACAATTTTCACACCTCATCGACCCTCGTCGAGCCAATTTTTCAAGCCTCGAGGCTCCCAAAAATTAAGAAGAAGAAAATTAAAAGTTTTCTTACCTTGGTGTTGCACAAAGAAGAAGAACAGCAACGAGAAACGACTCTTTGCAAAGGCAAGAGAAGAAGAAAACTAGGGGAGGGGGAACAAATTGCCTATGGCTTCTCTCTTCCCTGTTGGAATGATGATTGTTCTCCGAATTTATTTAATCCCCTACTTAAGGCAAAATTAAATAGGTATTGGAGGCAACTGATTTCCTTTTCCTAGAAGAAGTTTATCTCCAAATCAAGGAAGGAGATCTAGTTCAAATTGGGAAACAACTCTACAGGCGCATGCAACTTGGGATTTCTACACCTACTGGCATTTTTCTACATGCAGTGTAACGACCCGTCCCCAAATATTTCAATTTTTATAATTTTAAAGTGTGAATTTACAAAAATGCCCTTCAAGGTAAAAACGTTAACTTTTGTTGACTGCCTTATCATGTTATGTAAGGCTCTTTTCCTCAGCATATCCTGGTAGTACTCACTGTTACGAACGCGTGGGCGCAAGCAGAATTAAATTTGGAGCTAAAATGAAGATTTTATGGAATTCGAAACGTAAAGGTATTTTGGTAACTTTCCAAGTAGAGATATTTTCCACTTTGGACCACCCCTAGGCTGACAAATGGCAGCTTTTCCCCATTTCTGGGGTGTCATTTTTTTCCTTCCGTGACTCCTCTCTCTTTAGAACCCTCTCCCTCTCTCATTGTCTCTTTCCTCCATCTCTACACTTTTCTCCTTACCGAGACTCGACACACCCCCGCCGCTCCAGCGATCTCCACCAGCACCATCGTCATAACCTCACCACCTCTGTGAGTTCTACAAACCTAGAAAATGAAGAAAAACGCTTCTGAAACTCATCCCTCACCTCACTATGCAACGGCATCGTGACCACCATCATGTCCGACGAATCTCGCTGTTCACGGCTTATGTAAGCTTTGGGGTTCATCCATTCGCTTCTCCTTTTTTATGTTTAGTTCGAGTTCTAGGTTGGCATGCTCGTTTTGGTGAGCTTGGGATACATAAACTTCTATGACAGATTTCCCAATTTCAGGCAAGGAACTTGATGACTTTCGAGCCAATTTTCGACCAATTCCGGCCACGACCCAGGAAACCAAAGGTATAATCCGACTCCTTGTTTCTTGGGCTTCATTTTGATATATTGGATGGTTAGGTTTAGTGAAGATTTGGGATTGATCGGAGCCAAAAATTATTCCGGCCTTCCCTTACGCTTGTGACTGGGACCGGGTTGACCTGACCCGTAACCCAAACCAGATCCAAAACCAACAACCAAGCCCAACCCAAAACCGGACCCAACCCAATAATTGGGCCTAATCCAATAAACCAGCCCAACCTAGCAACTCAAAGTCCAAACCCAATCCTAGTTTCCATGGTCGGTGCGTGGGCCGCGCGCGGGAGGCTGTCATGGCCGACGCGTTGAGCACATGCACCTCCGCCGGAGGTACTGTGCTTCGCCACCGTGGACGGCTGCTACCACAGCAGCACCGGCAACTTTTCATGTGACTTGTTCGGCAACCCATCTCTGAGCGTGCGATGGTGCATGGCCTCCTGGGCTGCGGCCCTGTGGCGGCATGCAGCGGCGCATGGGAGAACCCAAGGTCCCTCCTTTGATTTTTGGACGTGCCGAATCTGAATCCGCTACCTGTGATTTTGCAACGCATGTTCTGTCATCCATGTGCTATATGCCTGGAAGGTCGTGAGATCCGTTGCAGGCTGCCTCACCCTTGAAGAAAAATTTCTTTCACAGCAGTCTCAAAATTCAGGTTTTTTTTCCTTCAATGCAACCTCTCATAATGTGTGTTATTGTTATATGTTGCAATATTTTGTTATTTGTTTCAGCTAGGTGGTCCAGTTTTCTGTGCGTCTGTTCTGTTTTCTCTCAAGCTCCATTCAGCTTCATTGGCCCCAGTATCCTCCTAACCAAACTAATGCTGCACAAAAGTGGTTTCAAACAAGCAATGGACTCTTGGGTGCTGGGCCTAGTGGGACCATGGTAGTTGATGCTATCATAACAGACTATAGTGCCATGCATGTCGCAAGTGTTCCAATAGTAAACCCATCTACTGTTGTTGTTTGGGAGGTCCCTCCTGGCCTAGGAAATGGATTTCACGCAACTCCAAAGATTAGCACAACTAATGGGGTTCCAATCCATGGTGGTTCTGTCATACCTGTAGTCATAGTTGAGGGTACTAATTGTCTTCTTCCTTGAAAACCCTTTTTTTCCCTATTCTTTGCATTCGGAATTCAATTGCAAGTTGGTGGTGTAATGAAGCATGCCTTTATTTGTTATCTTTTATAATCCAAATGTAAGTTTCCCAAAAAATTTCTCCGAAAGTTGGTTTGTTAGTGCCTTTATTTTGAAAAACTTGATCCAACGGCCAAATTGCCCCCTAAAAATGGGTTATTGCCCCTCCCATATTGGTTTGCCTTTATTAATTATAATGCAATTCTGGTATCGTTTTCGATGGTGGTTTGCCGAAAAATATTTCCCGGATAATTGCATTAATAACTTTTTATAACTTTTCAAGCCACCGTGATTACGATCATGACCCAGTAAATGTGGAATATGCACATTGCATGCTCAAAAGATGCACATGTTTGCACATGGCATACTCAACACAAGCACATGATATGCACGCTGCATACTGAAAACATGCACATGCTCAAAGGATGCACATCTTGCACGTTGCATGCTCATGTTTATGTCTACACATTGCATGCTGAACACATGCACATGATATGCACACTGCATACTAAAAACACGCACATTGCAAGACAAACACCGATCTGCTAAGTACAAACACTGAAATGTGAAACGCAACCTTTTTGACTTGAACTGAGATAATTTACCCCTGCCAATTCAAAATACCAGCATTTCATTAAACTATCAAGTTTAGGAGTGTTATTTACATACAAGAAGCATCCCAAAAGATTTACAGCTATCAAATTCCATTTATTAACTGAATGGAATACACAGCACAATACAGCCGAATTTTTTCAAGTTTGAGCACGCACGTGTCATAGAAACTACTCACTCCTTGGCTAGTTCCCAAGGTTAGTGCGTGGTCCAGTCTCTCTGCCTTGGATTGAGGCTTGCCCTTTGGAATGGTAAATAAATTCGTCACCTTCCCTGGTGAAATTTTCTCTGTGTTCAATGTCGTACATCTTTGGTTTTAGCATCAAAAGCTGCAACAGAATTTGAAGAAGAAGAACGTCATTGAAATTATACTGAATTTGAAGGGGGGGAATGTAGAAAACACTATGCATATTGAGTGTCAAGCTTCTCATAATATTTATTGCCAACACTCTCAACACCTACAAGCCTTGCCCATATATTGTGGATCTTAGTTTGCCTAAAGCAATCAAATAAAATTTGTTAGATACACTAGAGAAACAAAATGACAAATCCACCACTTGAATTCGCAAAAATACTTGCCCTACAAATGCACCCAAAGTTTTCTTGTTAAATGCAAGTTCTCGTTCTACCAGCGTAACCATACTTAATAGTCAACACTGGACATTACATAATCAAGTTACAAAATATCATTTCTCCAAGTCTCAGAATAGATGCACCCTAACGAGGAATATGAATGTAATTGAAGTTATAAATCCAAGACCTAACATGTGTAAAACCAAAACAAAACAGAATCACTGAAAACGTACATTTTGACTGGAAACTAAGCATATATGGTATTTATATCATGTGCATGTGGTACACATATTGTGCATATCATGTGCATGTTGTGTACATACAATGTTTATAATGCGTATTTACATATTTGGTACTCTCGCATTAAGAAAGTTTAGGACATGGTAGGCGCTCAAGATAACAAGGATACATAGTCCTCATGTTTATTTATTATTTAATAGTTAACAAATACATTGCACAACTATGTTACATCGCTTAACATTCTAGTAGTTGTTGACAATTTATGGTTGTCACAGCCCGACACATTCAGCTCAAGTTACTGAGCAGTTAATTCATTCAATGGAAAAACAGAGATAATACAATCAAAGCATCTAGTACATTAACATCCAATTCAACGATCTTTTGCAGAGTAAAGTAATATGGTTTTGTTCCCAGAGAAGTGGATGGATAAACTTAAGCATATTTAGTAATTACAAATGAATCATTTACACATGCTTTCTTTCTAAAAATAAAATTTCCAATTTATAATAACTTGAGCTATATTTATTTATAATAGCAAAAGTTTTACAGATTTGATCCTTTTCAATATATATAAACAATTGTTTTATGTTACATTCAAAACAAAGGAAACAAATAATGAGAGGGGAAGCGTTAAAGAAGAGAAAATAGAACCTTTTTGAACTGGCAATCTCCAAAGGCCCTAGAAACTTCAAGGCACCCCTGGAGTCGTCCATTTGAACTCACACTACCACCATCCTATGTGACGACACAACATGTTTCAATTAGATTCAGATAGAAGTAATAAAACATGAATTACATGCACAAGAAATCTTATATGGAAATAAAATATTATTATCCGGACTTGAGGAAGAATGAAATCATCAGTCCCCCAGAAAGTAGCAGACATAAAAAGCAATATAAACTCAACTAAGTTTTAATCACACTTTACAAATACACAATCCTTACCTTCTGCATACGAGCACGCTCCTGTACGCTCTTGTGCATAGGTGGCTTCGGGTTTCCTGATTAAACAATCTCTTTCAGATGACATGCTTCATTTGAACCAAGTAGCAGTCCCTCAGTGGGAGATGATCGAGTTATTGATATTAAACTCAACTAGTCAAAACGTGTGAGATAGATGATTTTTACATTACGGGAGAATAATGGTTACAAAGCTGATTAAATACTCAGATACATATAGATTAACTAGAAGACAACACAGCTAAACAAGGTTAACAAACTCTAACATAATCTTTGACTAACATTGACTCTAACATATATGAAACTAACAAAGTCATGACCGTTGGTATTTGATGATTGTCAGAAGGTCTTTACTCCTAAAAGTTGATAAGGTTGGTCCATCACAAATGACATAGAGATAAGGAACAAGTAGAAAACTATAAGCTTTAGTTATTTGCATCACCCCAAACAATAGAAGTCATATCCTTATTAATATTGAGATTATTAAGGTAAATATTGGATTCTTATAACACCATATGCTCATTCTATTGAACTGAAATCAATAACATGCACCATTATGAAAACCATATCAGCTCATAGAGAACTAGTACGAGTCTAGAAAGTTTATTAAACTACATATTAGGCACATCTAAACATAAAACTGGTTCAAGGACCACTTATAATAAAAAAACCCATAATTCTCCATCCACAAGAACTAAATGACACATCCTGACCCGGAATGTCCACTTGGACTCCAAATCGAGTTGTGTTGGCCAACACCTGAAAGGTGATGAAGCCACAAAGTGTAGCGATGTGGAAAATGTGAATACATTTAAACCTAAAAGTGCCTAAATACAAGAGTCTGTGGTGAACGGGAATGAACCCATTTCACACGTGATGTCAAAGCATAAGTAAAGTACAGTAAGATAGGATAAGGATTATACCCTCAAAGGTAGCCACCTATACTGAGATTTGGCAAGAATCCTCGTCGATACAAAAGTTCAGCAACTAAAACCTGGAGGGGTGAAAAACAAGGGTGAGTGAGCCTAAAAATAAAGTTTTAGTAAAAACCTTTCGAAACGTTAAGACCCCTCACCGTAAAACATGTATAGTTTCAAGAAAATCATATACGTATAAGTATGAAATCAATGCAAATCAACAATAAATTCATAAATATTCTAATCATAACATCTCAACAATAACATAATAGAATCAGGTGCTCATCAATCTATGCTAGCACACAAGTCGGAGTTGCCTAATGCAACCTATACGACTGGACTGATGCTCATCAATCTATGCTAGCACACAAGTCGAAGTTGTCTAATGCAACATGTACGACAGGACTGAGTGTAATCATAATATACGCTCTAGTGCTACAATCACATGAAAATTGGCACTATTCGTGATCACATACGAGTCGAAGTTGCCTATTGCAACATGTACGACAAGATGTCGGAGTTGCCTATTGCAACCTATACAACATGACTGACACCTACTTGGATCCAAGCCGAGTGTGTGGTGCGGATGTAAACATACATGTGAAAAATCGGTCATGGCCCTGGGCAAGCACTAACATCAGGTACAGCAATGATGAGCAGACTACATAAATATAAGCATGTCATAACAATTCAATAATTCTAGTCAACGTAATAAACTTACCTGCACATCCCGTAGTATTATTTTAGCATTTCACAACGGTACAACATTTCTTATAACATTATTTAATCATGGCATACGCATAAAGAATTTATTAATGCTTGTATTTATGGAAACTAACCTATATATATATATATATATATAAAGCAAAGACCCACTCACTTGAAGTCTGTGCTACAACTCCCTAACATGAATATCGAGGCATCACGAACGTTTGTCACCTAGAACAAATATCAAATCACATCTCAGAATTCTTATCGATAGAACACGTAACTTACACAAAACACATCCCCAAGGACGTTCTAGAATGATCTGTAACCCATTGACCAAAAGTCAACCGTCGGTCAAAGGTCAACGGTAGGGTCCACAACCCTACGCAACTCGATCTGGAAGATCCACACCTCAGATTTCCAATCCGTAACTTCCTAAGAGTTTCAATAAGCTTTTAGAACAACATCCTAAAGTTTCAGAATGATCCAACGGTCGGATCTCCACCAATCGCTAAAATTAAGTAATGGCCGACATTTAGATTTACAAACTTAGAAAACCCATCCGGAAAGATCCGTACGTTAGATTCCTGATCCGTCAGTTCTTAATGCCCTTAAATATTATGTACTATTACGTATTAAAGTTTGGTGACGATCCAATGGTCGGATCGTCGAATCATTTATTAATCAAGTGGCGGCCCTTAACGGAAATATAACCAAACAACGGAATTTCGTCAATCGGATGTCTAATATGGAATTGGGGCACCTATATTAGCCTAGGAAGGTCAAGTGTGTCTTTGTCCACGCGCCGCCGTCCTGACTTGCCAGAAAATTCAACTATTTCCAAAAATTCTCAAATTTTATAGGAATGAAGATCTCAACAAGTGGAGCTAAGTTTCATACATGTGGCCAAGTCCAATTTGGCCGAGAAAAGCCCCAAGTTCTCTCAAACTAGCCGAAAACCCTAGAAAGGGTGGGCTTCGATTCGCCATCGCCGGTGCTCCGTCGCCCCTAAGGTTGTTTGGACCTTGTTCTCGGGCTCAAGAGGAGTCTAATGGTGGTGGAGACCAACGTGATTGCCTTCAGAATAGGGCGGATCGCCGCCAGTGGTGTCCCTGAAACCCATGGCTTCGTTCTTCCCGATACAAGCCAAAAGCCCAACAATCTTGGGTGTAAAATGGAGAGGGAAGGCCGATGGAAAGTTTCTAGGTGATAGTTTGGTGAAATTCGCCGTAAAAACGATGGAAGAATGCAGGAATTTTTCGTCAGGCAACCGGGTCGCGATGGGGGGAAAAAGGGGTCACCCGAATCCCCTGGTTTTCTCTCCTTTCCTCCCTCCTTTCCCTCCTGATTCTCCCTTCTCTCCTCCCCCATTGGTCAACCTCCTCTTCCTCTCTCCTCTCCCGATTCGCCACAACCTCCTCTTCATCTCTCCCGAAACTCTTCTTTCCAATTGGCCTCCCACTTCCTCCTTTATTTCTAATTGGGCAGCCCCCAATCCCTCATTTCTCTCCTTGTCTTTCCATTCACAGCCACACACGTGGCTTCCCATATTTTCTTCAACAATTTTGGAGCCTTCCAGAAAATGATCAATTGACCATTTTGTCCTTGACTTTGTTCGTTAATAACTCCTTCGTTATAACAACGAGTACTACGAAAATACGCCAAGAAAACAGATCTTACGTGCTACGACAAAGCGGTCAACAAAAGTCAACACATTTGCCTCGAAGGGTATTTTTGAAATTTCACATTATAAAATTGTAAAAATCATAGTAATTAAGGACGGATCATTACACTAAAAGTTAAGAATAAACATGCAGCACAACAATAATCACGCCAATCACCATGCGGCACACCGGTACAAATAATCTGTACTTGGTTAAAGTATTATTGAATTTGTTCTGTTATGTCCTCAACTCGTTCAAGCACAAGTGCAGTTAACAAGTTTGATTAGAATACTTAAAATTAAAACTAATCAATACTTAAAATAAACACAATTATACATACCGAATGAGAGTTAACAGAGCAACAAAAATCACATGCCTTTCTGTTTGACAAAAAAAAAAAAATTATCGAACCTGTGCTTAATCTTCTCTTCTCAACCTCTAACCACATGCAGCTTCTCAACGTTAAATTCTTAAGAAAACAACAAAAGTAACCACCCACAAACACCGCAATCAGATACTCAAATACTTACAGAAATATGATTGCTCAGACTTGCAAAATTGGATCAGATTAGGATGAAACTTAGAGTTAGCAAAATGTAAGAATTGGGGAAAAAGAAGCGAATTATGAGAGAATCGGGAGATGTACTCATACGAAAACGAATGTAATTGCCAAAGGTGATTTGGGTGGCGACGGCGATAAGCGTCTCCGTGAGGCCTCCGGTGACGGTATCTAGGAGGACTCGGTGGACTCCATTGTCTTTTTCCTTCAGAGAATAAGATAGAGAGAGAGACTCTAGAGCATTCACAGAAATTGGAAATGGGTTTGAACTTTGCAGATCGCTATCTGCTATCAAACTCAAGTACAACTCTTGCACGTTAAAACCTAGATCGCAGATCGAAAGGGGTTAGGGCTAGGGTTAGTAATTTGTCAAGAAATTGAATGCGGGTTGGGAAGAAGGAGAGTGTGTAGATGTCATAGAGAGAGAGAGGGAAGAGAAGAGAGAAATCAAAAAATGGGAAGGATTAACTCATTTATAGCAATTTGATCATTTTAAGACGTAGAAAAAAATCATATTTGTGTACAAGTATTGTGCATGGCGTGTGCTAGGCTTGGTAATTTGTGACACGATCAGTTAATCTGACACGATATAATATAAAATTAACAGGTTATTGGATCGATATGATAACGAATTTGATCATTATCAGATAACCCGATAAGCACCTGTTAAGATAACGAGTTGGTCCGGATATACACATAGGTAACCCTTACACGATAAGTAAAATATTAATTTAATAATTTTATACCTTAAGAATACTATATCATATATATATATATATATATATAATTATATTATATATATATATATATATATATATTAAATTAAATTTTAGAAAATTTCAAAAAATTGAGGTGATATATTTTTATAAGAAAAACTAATAAAAAAATGTTTGAAAACTTTATTTTAATGATAAAGACAAAATAAAGGGTAAAATGAATAGTATCAAAATTGATTTTTTAGTGTAAAAATGTGGTTTTTCGTTAAAATGAACAGTACTGTAAACTTTTCAGTTAAATTTCCCATTTTTATATGGTATAGTATCATTATTTTGTTTCCTTTCATAATTATTTTGATAAAATTCTCATAATTTGAATGGTTATAATTAGACCTGGCAACTTATTATACGACCCGTTAACACGACACGTAAACGACACGAAAATAACGGGTTTCGGGTCAACACGATAACTAATCGGGTCATTATCGGGTCACACGATAATAACCCGTTAATAACGGGTCCTTAACAGGTTTACACGAAAGTGACACGCGGGTAACCTGTTTCGACACGATAAGAAAAATGCTATTTTGATGATTTTAATTTTTTAAACTACTAAAAAAAACTTACTATAAAATGCAATAGATATAATGAATATGTATATATTGTTTATTAATTATTATTCTATTATTATTTTATATAAATTTTAAATTTTAAGTTTTATTTATTTATTTATTTTTATAATATATTATAGGCAAAGATTGAGATTAAAAATCATAAAACACATTAAAAATAAAAATATCAAGTAATTTAAAAATACCAAAAACATAAAAAAAATTATAATAATTAATTTCCCGCCTAATATTTCAAGAGTTTCATCCATTTCCCACCCAATGTTTGGGAAATTTTACAACCTATATCCATCCATTTCCCGCCTAATGTTTAACCCAAAGAAAAAAAGTAACCAGCTTTTTTTTTTTTTTTTTTATCTCTTATAACATTTTAACTTGAATAAAAATAAAATACGTAATAAAAAAACATAAATGTAATTTTATTATTAAATATCATCACATACTAATTGAAACATAGTCTAATTAACACTTAAAATTATAAATAATTAATATATTTATTCCAAGTCATCAAAACGATAAGATTCACTAACGCTTAAAGTTTATTTATACTTTCATTAAGTATAACATCAATGCGTATCCCATCAAAATGATGAAAGTATGAATAAACTCTTAAGTGTTAGTGAATTTATCGTTTTGACGGGATAAGTATCCTACAAAACTAATTTCAACAATCCAACCGTCAAACTTGTTTATACATGCTTCGAGATCGCATACTCCAAAAATTGCAAAAAACAAACATTCAAAGATGAAGTAATGAGACAAAACTTTTCAACGGTTATAAACGAAAAATCACAATTTAACGGTTATTTTAACTCCGATTTTGATGACTTTTTACAGCTACGCTCCTTGACCTTATATGAATACAATGAATGAATTCGATCTTCAATTTAAAATATTTACACTAGTGTATACCACAAATCTTATGTTATACTTAATGAAAGTATAAATAAACTCTTAAGTGTTAGTTAATGTATCGTTTTGATGGGATATGCATCCTATGAAACTAATTTCAATGATCCAACCGTCAAATTTGTTTATGCATGATTCGAGATCACATACACCAAAAATTGCAAAAAAAAAACATTCAGAGATCAAGTAACGAGACAAAACTTTTCGACGGTTATAAACGAAAAATCACGATTTAACGGTTATTATAACTCCGATTTTGATGATATTTTACAGGTACACTCCTTGACCTTATATAAATACAATGAATGAATTCGATCTTCAATTTAAAATATTTACACTAGTGGATACCACAAATCTTATGTTATACTTGATGAAAGTATAAATAAACTCTTAAGTGTTAGTGAATCTATTGTTTTGATGGGATACACATCTTAGAAACTAATTTCAACGATCCAACCGTCAAACTTGTTTATATATGCTTCAAGATCGCATACGCCAAAAATTGCAAAAAACAAACATTCAGAGATCAAGTAATAAGACAAAACTTTTCGACGGTTATAAACAAAAAATCACGATTTAACGGTTATTTTAACTTCGATTTTGATGATTTTTTACAACTATACTCCTTGAACCTAAACAAATACAATGAATGGATTCGATCTTCAATTTAAAATATTTACACTGGTGGATACCACAAAATCTTATGTTATACTTGATGAAAGTATAAATAAACTCTTAAGTGTTAGTGAATCTATCGTTTTGATGTGATATGCATCCTATGAAACTAATTTCAATGATCCAACCGTCAAACTTGTTTATATATGCTTCGAGATCGCATATGCCAAAAATTGCAAAAAACAAACATTCAGAGATCAAGTAATGAGACAAAACTTTTCGATGGTTATAAACGAAAAATCACAATTTAACGGTTATTTTAACTCCGATTTTGATGATTTTTTACAGCTACACTCCTTGACCCTAAACAAATACAATGAATGAATTCGATCTTTAATTTAAAATATTTACACTAGTGGATACCACAAAATCTTATGTTATACTTGATGAAAGTATAAATAAACTCTGAAGTGTTAGTGAATCTATCGTTTTGATGTGATATGCATCCTACAAAACTAATTTCAACGATCCAACCGTCAAACTTGTTTATATATGCTTCGAGATCGCATACGCCAAAAATTGCAAAAAACAAACATTCAGAAATCAAGTAATGAGACAAAACTTTTCGATGGTTATAAATGAAAAATCACGATTTAACGGTTATTGTAACTCCGATTTTGATGATTTTTTACAGCTACACTCCTTGACCCTAAATGAATACAATGAATGAATTCGATCTTCAATTTAAAATATTTACACTAGTGGATACCACAAAATCTTATGTTATACTTGATGAAAGTATAAATAAACTCTTAAGTGTTAGTGAATCTATCGTTTTGATGGGATACGCATCCTACGAAACTAATTTCAACGATCCAACCGTCAAACTTGTTTATATATGCTTCGAGATCGCATACGCCAAAAATTGCAAAAAAAACAAACATTCAGAGATCAAGTAATGAGACAAAACTTTTCGACGGTTATAAACGAAAAATTACGATTTAACGGTTATTTTAACTCCGATTTTGATGATTTTTTACAGCTACACTCATTGACCCTATATGAATACAATGAATGAATTCAATCTTCAATTTAAAATATTTACACTAGTGGATACCATAAAATCTTATGTTATACTTGATGAAAGTATAAATAAGTGTAGATTTTTAAAAATCTCATGAACAATGTTATTTATTTGAGTGAAAAATTAATAATAATAGGTGTGAAAAATGTAATCACACATAATGAAAAACTTTACAACGTTCATTAAGGGGTCAACTCCGAAATTTAGTATGTATATACTAATTTAGTATTATGTTTTACATTTTTTTGGGTCAAATTATGTTTTTCTTTTCATTTTTATTGATTTAAAATATAATTTTCTTAACGGGTAACGGGTCGGGTCATATTACCTGATAATATTAACGGGTTGATTTCGGGTCGGGTCATATTACCTGTTTACTTTAACAGGTATTACACGACACGACCCGTTAAGCTATCGGGTATGACACGAAAACGACACGAACATGAGAAACACGACACGAATGCCAGGTCTAGTTATAATGTTTGGTTTTTGTATATTTAGTTTATGCGGAAGAGAGTTCTGATGTGGAAAACCTTACTGAAAACATCATCAACATAACTCTTGAAGGCAATAGATCAAGCCAAAGTTTCAATACAATTTCTCCATGATGATCGATGAAAATTGAAGGATTTTGAGTTTCATTGACAATGTTTTAACTTCTGAAAAAGGCTTCACAACTTTGAAAAAAAAAATTCATTCATTTTGCATATCCTTGCACATTTGATATTTTGTAGTAAACTAGTAGTGTATCTTCAAGTGTAGATGTGGTACTTAAGGCCATCTCCAATCGAATGGTCCATAGCGCCAAAGGGCCAAAAATAGCACAAAAACCGTCTCCAACTTAGGGCTAGGCCAGAGGGCCATGGAATCTGAGAGGGCCCCATGGAATTGGAGAGGGCTGGAGGGCTGGCCAGAAAAATCAGCTTTCTTGGCGATTATAACCGACATGAATTTTTTTTTTTAAGTTTTATTATTATTTTTGATTTACAAAATTTTCCTATAACTTCTATTTTTCAATTTTTTTTAAATTCTATTTTTTTTCCATAACTTTTATTTTACAAAATTTGTTTCATATTTTTTTTTTAAATTCCATTTTTTCCTATAACTTCTATTTCTCAAAATTTGTTTTATTTTATTTTAAATTCTATTTTTATCCTATAACTTCTATTTCACAAAATTTGTTTCATATTTTTTTAAATTATATTTTTTTTCCTATACCTTCTATTTTACAAAATTTGTTTCATATTTTTTTTAAAATTATATTTTTTCCTGTAACTTTCTAAGCCATTATACAACATTAAATTAAATTAAGTAACATGAAACAACATTAAACAATATGAAACAACATTAAATAACATTAACCAACATACAAATTATACAACATAAAATAAAAACATTTAACAACATGAAACTTAAACAACATTTTAAAAAAACACGTAACAACATAAAATTTAAACGCCTACTTCATTCTTCTTTTGGCCCAAAGATGTGCAATAAGATCCTGTTGTAAGTACTTGTTTATGGCACGAGAACGTATCATTCTATAGCGCCTCATGTACTCATTTATAAAGATACTACCAGTTCTTGGATTGAAAGGCAAATTAGGCCCATCATATATTTTTGCGCGAGCCCTTCTTGACCTATTTAGATCTTCTTGGTCGTCATCAAACTCTCCATCAATATACCCATCTCGCTCATCCTCCACTATCATATTGTGTAATATGATGCAAGACATCATGATGGAGTCCAAATTTTCTCGACCCCACCCTCTTGCTGATTCGCTAATGATCTTCCACCATACTTGTAGAATACCGAAGGCTCTCTCAACATCTTTCTGGTATGCCTCTAGTGTAAGGTAAACAACTTTTCTGCGTCATTCCTAGGGTTTGGAATTGCTTGGACAAGTGTCGCCCACTTTGGGTAAATACCATCTGCCAAGTAACACCCCATATTGTATTGACGGTTGTTGATGTAGTAGTCAAGTTGAGGTGCTTTACCTTCCGTCAAGTTATTGAAGAGGGGTGAATGCATAAGAACCACAATGTCATTTTGGGATCCAGGGACTCCAAAGAAAGCATGCCAGTTCCATATGTCATATAAGGTAACCGCCTCTAACACAACATTTGGCTTTCTCGACCTTCCGCTAAAGCCTCATTGCCATCCGGTGGGACAGTTCTTCCAATCCCAATGCATGCAGTCTAATGACCTTATCATGCCCAGAAACCCACGGTCTTCAGCTTTGCGAATGAGCCGATTCAAATCTTCTTGATTTGGCTCGCAGAGGTACTCGTCTTTGTAAACCTGAACAATTGTGTCACATAATTGTTCAAGAGTATCAAGGCATGTAGACTTAGACATACCATGGGTTTCATTCATCAAATCAGCTGAGGAGTCATAGGCCATCATTCGGAGTACAACAGTAACCTTCTGATGAGGTGAGAAACCAGGGCGGCTTGCTCTGTCCTGCTTCTGTCGAAAGTATGGATTGACCTGCTGGACATCATGAAGTAAATGCTCGAAGACATAGCGCTTCATCCGGAAGCGACGTTTGAAATCCTCTTCTGTGTACACCGAGTTGGGGTTGAAGTAGTTGTTCATCAGATTGGCATGCGACATCACTCTGTTTCGTGGTTTGTAAGAGCGATCAACAATAGAGCCACCCCATTGAGGTTGTTCCTCAGTATTTGCCCCCATTTTGCTTCCAATTTGGAATTGGATGAGGATCTCCAGTTGGAATCCAAAGAGGATCCAAAGTTGGAATTCATTACAAACTTGAATTGTAAAAGATTGAATTGAAAGAGATTGAATTGAAATAGATTGAATTCAAAGTTGTGTGAATTATAGCCCAATATCCACCCAATTTATGGCAAAAGAAAAATTCAAATCCAACAGCTAGCTGACATCAGCATGATGTCATCTACCAACGGCTAGCTGACATCATGCTGACGTCATTTAGCCGTTGGATTTGAATTTAAGTTGTAGTTTTTAAATAATAAATTATGTTTGGCCCTATGGCCCTTTGGCCCTCTATTGGAGACGGTTTTTTGTAACAGGTTTTTATGACAAGGCTAAAACAAGCCCTACGACCCTTTGGCCATCAGTTGGAGACGGAGGCAAATATGGCATGGTATTGTTCATTAAAATATTAATTTCTTGGAGGGCCAGAAGGTTAAAACAAGCCCTCTAGCCATCCCTCGGTTGGAGATGGCCTAACGACAAATGTGATTTTATGCTTTGAAGTAATATTTATGTGGCAATGTGGTATGTGCAAATTTAAGAAGAAATTTTTTTTCTGAACAGGTTGAGTCATTTTACCTATTGGGTAAAGTGACCTAACTTGTTAAGGACCCGTTAAGATAACGGATATAACACAACACGGCTTTTTAAGATAACAAGTATTATACGAACATAACACGAAACACAAGGCCTAACGTGTACATGTTGTATGTATATTAAAAAAATTCTATTTTTATAACAGAATTAAGAAATTGTCTCATTTTGAGATATTTTCCTTTTATTTATTTATTTATTTATTATTATTTTTATTTTTTTATGCAGCATAGGGTAGCGATCGGTCGGTAAAACACCAAGGACTCAAACAACACGCGCTCTCCCTCTCCGCCCCAAGCACTGTATATAAAATCCCATCTTTTGGGTTTCTTAATCATGCGACATATAATCCAGTCAATTTTCCGGGAAAATTTGAGTGAGAAGGTATGAAAAGCGTGTTTTATTTTGTTTAATTTTGGTAGTTTCGGTTTAAGAGTGTTGGTGGGGTCGGATTGGTTTTTGCTTTGGAGGGTGTAACAATGGCGGGAATAGCAATAATCCTAGATCTGTTGCGGAAAAAACCAAGTCCCAGTACAGTCCAAGCATTACACTCTGCTGGGTATTTTTCGGCCAAAGCCGCCGCTTCTGCCGCTGCTGCGTCTGTCGCCGCCGGTGCTCCTTATGCTTATAAGGCATTATTCGGGTACTCTCTCTCTCTCTCTCAATTGTGTTTTCTTTTACATATCTGTGTGTGTTTTTGTTATGATGAATTCGGTTTCGATGATATGGAGGAGATTTTGTATTGTATAATGCTATTCGGATTTGAATTCTTTGATATGAATTTTAGATACGATTTGGGTAAGTGTTATAGCTCGTTGGTGCATTTGTATTTGGGAATCGGAAATCAGTGATCTCAATTTTTTTTCTTATTTCGCCATTAGTCTTCATGGTGGTTATTGTATGGTGAGTCTGGGGATTTGATCATACCCTGAAACTTGATTTCGGGTCGCTTTCACATTGATTGATGACAAACTATAGGATGTGAACAAGTTTGAGTGCGGATAAAGGTTCAGTCGGCTAATTTTTCAATCGAACAATTCAGGGAAGTTCTAAACTTTTCGAAGCTGTAGAGTTGCCCTCTGTGATTATGGTTGGTTGTGTTTGATTAATAACCTTCTGGGGTACAGTTCATTATTGGTATTTTATATGGTTGAAGCTGGAGAAATATATTCGGGATTGTTCTTCTGGTGTAGGTAGTACAAAATGTTGATATCAGGACGCTAAAACTTTTGCGCTATTGGTTTTCGTTTTCAGTTGATTCTGTCCTCATATCCTTTCTTGAGCTTGCTGCGTAAATTTAAAATCAACAGCTCATATTATACTTTCCTTTTCTTACTTTCCCATGTCAATGTTATTTCATTAGTACTTTGAGGATTGTTGTCGGCTGAAGTTTGACTGTGTACTAACTCTTTAGTATGCAACAGTAATTTCAGGGTGCCGGTTGCCCATTGTGATGCTGGAACAGCATGGTCTGAAGATTATGTTTCTAATATACGAAGTTCATCTCAACGAATCTTTCAGAGTGACTCTCATAATTACAGTACCAAGGAATACAAAATTGAGTTAAAGCCTCTATTCTCGGCTTTTGAATTGAGGACTCTAACTATGACAACCTTGAGGTCATTTTTAATGTTCTTTTTACCTCTTTTGGAGCCTCGAACAAACTTGGAAGAGGATGATGATAAATTCCTGCCGGACACTGAAGAAAAGCAACCTATAGATTATGTTGTTCCTCTAAAAAAATCAGTAGTGCAGATTATTCGTGAGGTCAGTTGTTTTTTCCTACATTCTTGTTTCTGTTTTGAATTTAGTTTAAGAAGTTCCATCCATACACGTCGTCTTTAAATTATTTCCATTGGTTCCATGGTGTCTCTGAACAGTGGTTTTCGGAATTAGAAACCGTACTGATTATTTTTTATACTTTGTTGGTCATAACACCAGACATAATATGCCTCAGATAGTTTGACTCAACCCTCTGTGAAGGACTCATTGTAAAATGAAGATACCTTATTGGAAATTTTATCCGGTGAAGATAGCATTAATTTTGAGGAACGCCTTGCTGAAATTATGATACTTTTAAATCCGTATGCACTAAAGCATCATAAATATCCATAACAGTTATTAGCAATTGATGGATCTTTGAAGGAGGATTCCACGTTAACAGTTAGTGCTTATTTTCATTCTTTTTTTTTATACTTTTAAATCAGTATGCGCTGCTTGTACATCATAAGTAGCTTGACAGTTATTTGAATTCAATGGATCTTTAAAGGTGGATAAATTTAAACAGAATTAGGTGCTCGGATGTTTTTGTCTTGTTTGTCAACGTGTATAGTTCTGCTGGTTTATAGACCAGATGCAAGTGTGTACCACTAATCATGTTTATTTTGAAAATCAATTTGATCACGAAACAAGTTATTTCTGTAATGTGATGGAAATGTTCATTAGTTGTTGAATCAGCAACCAGTTGATTTACCTCTTTGCATTCACCTTTCAATTTTTTTCTTCTTTATTTACATTTTAGCACAGGAAATTTCTTCTCTCTCTCCCTGCCACCCCCCACAACACACAATACAGCTTTCACCTGAAGCAGTTCTAGGGTTTTCTCTTTCCCAAATATAACCACTTAATTAAACAGCATACAAAATTTTGCACTTCTATTATTGAACTCAACAAAGTTTTGCATCTTCCAATTGAGTTACGTTTTGCATCCATTGCAGACTTCTGTTGTAACCACTAGACGGATTCTGGAACGAATTTGTGTCCATTATGTATCGGAGAGAATGGCATGGAAACTTCTCAAAGGTAATTTCTTTCCACAGTAATCCCAAATCTACTTTTATTTGAGAAGATTAAGCTCAAAAAACAAGCGTGTAAATATGATTAATTAATTAGTTATATGTTTTGCTTCTTCAAATACGCAAACAAAATCTACAGATGTTCCTAAGTCCGCCATGCGGAAAGCTGGAAGAAGATTGCCTACTTTACTTTTCTTCTGTAGTGTTAGCAAAACAACTTTCAGAGGTAATATTCTATTCATGTATTCTGTCACATATGCAAGAAAAAATGTCATGGTCACTGTTGTTGGTTGATTGAGCTTTCATTCTCACTGTGCTGTCCATGTTTACTCAGGGCACTTTCTAGGTGTGGCAGCGTCATGGCTCATCCAAGTTGGCATTGATGTCTACCGATATATTTCTTATACAATAAAGTCTAGAGAAGAGGTTGATGACATCGATACGGCAGAACAAGTTAAGATTCTTGGGAAGAAGGTTACAGTTACTACTATCAGGTGTGGTGCATCACTAGTTTTTGCTTCCATTGGGGCCGGTATTGGTGCCTCCCTTATCCGCCCTTCATCTGGCCAGTGGATTGGTAAGTGAATTACCTAATCGGGGTGTATCCATTAGTAAGTGAATCATCTGTAAGTGCACATGTAATTTTTCTTTCTTTTTTCGCAGGCTGTCTTTTGGGGGATTTGGCAGGGCCTTTTATTGTAACAGCTTGCCTTGGGAGAGTTTACCATGGAGAACTTTGAGTCCTGGGGATGACTTGTCTGACGTATTGTTTGCACATGGGCAAATTTAAGTGGCTTAAACGAGACAATTCTTAACTATACGATGATGGGGTTCTTGACAGCAATACCACCTGCATGAAATCAGTTAAAGCAGGTGTTGAAGGAGAAGTTTCACAACCGTAGGAGTTTCTCCTTTCTGAAATTATGCCTTTCCATTCTGAAACTCTGCTTTTGTGGGAACCTTTTAAAGTACACAGTTTGGTCCCTGAATTTAGTCATGAATCAAGGTGAACAAGATTATCAATATTTAGCATTATTTTTATTTTTACAATTTTACAAGCGATATTGAGGATAGAATCAAATAGACATCGAGTATAGGGTAAATGCAGTTAACTACTTGAACAACAAGCTCCTAACTTGGCACGATTATATCAAGTGTCCCAGATCGTGACAACGTATACTACTACAATTCCAAACAGCACAGCCAGAAACTTGGAATGGGGTGTGTCAACAGAGACTGCCTTGTGAGCTGTGTAACCCCTTGATAGCAGATGGTTTATGGATGCTGTTGGAGCGAAATTTCTTACGAGAAGAAATGCCTCCACAAATTCGTTGACTGAAATCCTCACGCTCACCTTCGCCAAATCCCTTGCAAGAGGCATCCCCGAACTATCTTCCTCCGTAGCTTGTGCGGGCGGGGTACCTGCAAAAGATACTCCGACATTCAAGTCAGTCAATTAATTTTTGTTCTCTGGTTTCTCTCCGAGACTCCTTTCTTTCTTTTTTTCCCGGCTATTTGGCTCCTCTCCATATTTATAGGATTGCATTCTTAGCAAACAAGTGCCACGACCTTTCTCCCTCTCCCACTTCCTTAGTGGTCCTCCGTAATATAACTTCATGCTTCGGGAACAAGTACCATGTCATGTCTTCCTTACCCACTTCCTCAATGGTCTTCCATAGTGGAGGCAGTTATCTAGACACATGCATCTGTATACTCCTTATAGGCCTTCCTCACAGTTTATCTTGCACAACACCATCTTTGGGTGATTGGTATTGGCCCATGAGTTGAAACCGGATTTTATCCTCCACAGATACGTATATGAACATACCACATGACAGACCTATCGAAATGGCGGAGGTCCATTCCGCCTTCTATCTTGAGTTGTGCCCAACTCCGATACCAGTCGGACTAGAAATGAAAGCAGAAAACCATATGCCGGGCATGATATGGAAGGACGGTCCGGAATCATTGAACTTGAGGGTCACTGTCCTGCTTAGTATACACATACAAAACCACAAAAAGTTTTGTTTGAATCACTCTGAAAGTGCATGAGAGCTGTTCCCAGAAATATACCACCAGCAAACTGTGTGCCTAGAACCAGAAACCCCTCATTCCACTTTAAGAAGTAGGGCGACATTCCAGCTGAAAATGTCCCCAAAAAGAAAACTGTGCATGAAATCTTTACGAGTAATAGGGGCTTGGTGCGAAGGCTGCGAATGCCAGTTGTTCTTTTTGGTTTCACTTTGATCATCGTCATGGCTGCTGTAGGCCAATGTGGAGAGGGTGAGGAAGAGAAAGAGAAAGAGAGCTTGAGAAGATTGTAGCAAGCCATGTTATAGTGGTGCATGATAAAAAGTTGAAGGTTTGGATTGTAAGCATATAATAACATAGAATAGGATCATAGTTATTGACATGCATCAAGAAGTGAATGAAGACAATACTTGCAAATAAACCAGAAAAGAAAGCAAAGAAGTCAAGTTCATTGGGCCGAGTCGAAGTCTTCCTCCTCACGCTTTCTACTAGGTTAACAGCCAGTGCCAGTCCTTGGAGTAGCCCGAGTAGGTGGGCACCTAGGGCCCCCACTTCGGGCGCGGGGGGGGGGGGCAATTTTTTTTATATATATAGAGAAGTGTTATTAACACTTTAAAATTTTTGTCCTACACTTTTTACAAATATATATATTTTTTTCCAAATATAAAACGTTTGGAACGTACTCCACTAGAATTTTGGAACACCAATAACAATTATATATTTATATATATATATATATATATATAATTTTGTAGTTTGAGTAAAATATCTCAATATGAAATTATAAAAAAAAAAATTTGGAACTTGCTGTGCAGCTTTAGGCCTCGGGAAGGGCCAGAAGGCCCAAAATATTTCTTAAGTATGTGTGCGTGTGTGCGTGTGTGTGTGTGTGTGTGTATATGGTTTTGTAGTAGTTTATTAATTTGAAGAAGTTAAAAGATGTAGACAATGATAGCTTGAAGAGTTTTTGTATTAATCTTGAAGGATTATTGAAACATGGTGAGCATTTTGATATTTATAGAAATGACTCATTTATAGAGCTAATAATCTTGAGAGCAACTTTGCCAAAGGAAATAAATCGGGCAATGGAAGTGCTGAAATATATAAGACAAATGGATTGTTGTTTCCCGAATGCATGGGTTGCTTATCGTATTTTGTTAACTATACCAGTTACAGTTGCCTCTACTGAAAGAAGTTTCTCAAAATTAAAGTTGATCAAATCGTATCTTCGATCAACTATGTCACAAGAAAGATTAAATGGGTTAGCTATTTTGTCAATTGAAAAAGAATTGGTTGAAAAGTTAGATTATGTAAACTTACTTACTACATTTGCGTCTAAAAACGCGAGACATGTAATATTTAAGTAATATTTGCATATCTTTCTTCTTTGGATATGAATTCTAATGATTTTTTATGTAGAAATGAGCTTTTTCACGTATTTAGCGAAACATTTTCTTATACATATAAATATACAACGAGTCGAGTGTCAAAGAACTTTAGGGCCCCCATTTGAAGGCTTGCCTAGGGCCCCCAATTTCTCAGGGCCTTCCTGTTAACAGCTTCTGCAGCAACACCAAAAGCCGGAAATGCTATATCCCTTTGATCATGGTACTATTACAAAGGTGCAACCTCCACGCCTATTCAGAGGTAGACATGATCTTAGAGATTAGAGCAGTGAATCTTGTCTGAATCAAACAGAAGAAATAAAATACACAAGATGATGGCATTTGGCTGTAGTTCAATGGCATTAGGATACGCTGCTTGACCTGGAAAGCCTGAGGGACTTGTCTAAAGTGGTCAAGGATATTTACTCCTGTACCCGAGGTACTGAGTTCGATCCTCTTCCCCAAATATTGCTTGAATATATAAACCGCAAAGCAATCCTGTTTATATCTGTATCGATACGCATACAATTTTATATATTTGTATGTAAGATGATCATCATCCAGATGATTGCCAAGCCACACAAGCAATAAAAACATTCTTGGAGATCATTACAACACTGCTCTCTATCCTGAACTAATAACATATGATAGCAAAAATCTAAATAAAACCAAAATCACATCTACCAATCGATTGCCTTGCTACTTACAAATCTATACTTCCAAACGCAATCTTCCACAAACAAATCGTGCTCGAACAACGACTTCAAGTGTCCCAAATCATCACAACAGCTATTACCCCAATACCCAACAAAACTGCCAGAAACTTGTACTGGGGTTTGTCGACTGAAACTGCTTTGTTGGGTGCATAACCCTTTGCCAATAAATGGTTTATTGCTATGTAGATGAAAACTCCACATGCTAGAGCCATTGAAATTGCGAATATCCAATCAGCCACAGCTCCTTGGGTTGTTGCGTCTATTAGGATTCCAATTGCCACACCAATAGGACTTGAAATAGCAAATGCAAAAGCACAGGCAGCGCATGACAAGAAGGGACGGTTAGGCATCATTCGAAGGAGAGCAATGCCCATGGCAATGGCAGCAAATACCTTGTGAAGAGAAATTGTCCATAAGGCTTTCCAAGCATCGGCTTTAGTCTCAGCGATTCCAATTGCAATGCCCTCAAACACGGAGTGGAAACACAAGGCTACTATCAACAAGATGCTGTCCCCAAGTGAAGTAGCGCTTGCAACCACCACGTTTTGGTTATGGCCCTGTCAGGTCAATCAAAAATAAGTTTTGAGTCAGTGTCAGAACCACCACCGAGTAATCCCCCAATACGTATGGAAATCCTGATACGATTACAACCAGAAGATTATGAATTTAGCAAGTATATATCTTACCTGAGTGCCATATTGACCACCCTTTCCCTGCTCAGTATTACCTGCAGTGAAAAATAAACTATCACTTGATTGTCCTAGTTTTACAGTCAACCTCAAGCCTAGTTTTGCTTAATAAATTATGGTCGCAATCACAATTCTCAGCAAAAACCCACACACAGTTCGTTTAGTGGCACCCCCGTCTCCACTTTGTTAAGTTTGAAAAGGTCGGAGTTCAAATTTCATAAATGACAATTGTTACTAAAGAAACAAAAATCCAACACCAAACAGTTGTTTATTCAAGGACAGTGATTTTCAACACACTTTTAGTCCCCTTATATTTTTATATTTCTGGTCATCGAACCGAATAAATCAAATGGAAACAAGAAGGAATATGATTTTCACACACCCTTTTAGCTACTCACACAAACCTGTAAATTTCTTTATTTTTAGCTATCGAATTGTGTAAATCATATAAAGGCCTACTGACACTCCAGTTAGAAGATGCGATTACATGACAGAGTTTCAGAGCCAAAGGGGTAGAGAGGAAGACCTAGAAAGACTTTGGAAGAGACTCTAAGAAAAGACTTAGAGTACTTGGATCCAATGGAAAACGTGACACAGAACCGCGCGCAATGGTGTTCTAGGATTTATATAGCTGACCTCACTTAGTGAGAAAAAGGTTTTGTTGTTGTTGTTGGATTGAGTAAATCAAACAGAATGAATGAAAATGATTAAAAAGAAGTGTGTGAGGCTAAAAAGCGTGTGTCTTTGTCATTTCCCGTTCAAGGAATTTCATTGACTCAGCAAACAAAGAGAACAAAGTCTAGAAGACCAAAAGCACTTACCCTGAACCTGAAGATCAGCAGCAGACACAACACTCTTGTTCTTGAGGAACACGTAGGAAATAACACAATCAGCAAGCATTGTAAGCAAGAAGCCACCACAAGCCAACATAAACGCGAAAGGGTATTCTTCTTGGGTCAAGTCCTTGAAAGTCTCATTGGAATCGCTCAGAAAGTGCATCATAGCCGTACCTAAAAACACACCCCCAGCAAACTGGATACCCAAAACCAAAAACCCTTCATTCCACTTGAGAAATAAGGCGAAACTCCGGGTAAGAACGTCCCAAAAAATATTATGATGAGGCACCAAATCTTGACTAGTATTAGAGGCCTCGAACGGAGGTTATGCGGGGTTTCACTGTCGTTGGAGTCGGGTTCGTTTCGTC